ATTTCGCAAGGTCAGTCTCTCAATTGTTTGCTCTCTTCGTAACTGGCAATCGCCGCTTTCTTCCCGTGCTCTTGTCCCACCGTAGAGCACCTTGCCGTTGGTCGCGCAATGTCTCGGCGTCGCGTCGTCATCCCGCTGACTCGCTCGATTCACAGGAAGAACAAAACAGTCGAACCGTTCCCAAGTGACTGGCTGGCGCTGTCCAGAGGAGTCATGCGTGCTTCGCGCATGAATCACGAATCTTCATCCTACGTCACATGGTTTGCCTCGCGATGGAGATCACCGAAAGGAAAAACCTTCGAAGATCGCCACCAGAAACCGCATATGCCGCAATATCTCTCCGAGTGTTTGGAATGCGGCGATTTTTTGCGGCATGTCCCGTTTCTCCCTTATGCTACATTCACGATGGATTCGGAAACGATTAATTCCATCCGACGTGAACGTGTCACGAAATCGACTGAGTACTCGGCTTTTCCGATTTATCCAAAGTTTGTGGCGTACGAGAAGAGCCACGTCGATACTGGGTTGTCTTTCCCTTGCGATTCTCCGAAATCGTTTTGTTCCATCGCAGGATTCTCGAGAGTGTCATCGATTCTAGCCATGATGGATCTACCGCCCGATCCCTCGTGCGGGAGGATCACTGTCGGGGCTGTAGCGCGTAGAGAGAGAGAAACTTCGAAGGCCTGTCCCCCGGATTTTCAATGAAGTGCTGTCACTCGAAGACATGCGATATAGAGTTCAGTCGGTGATAGTCCTCCTGTCGGCGCTGTTGTCGTTTCAACTTTTTCCTTTGCCACGAAGCCTGCTCTGAGTGGCTGACAATCGAGCTGGTTAACCATTACCAAGCGAATGAAAACGCAGTTCCTTGATGCCTCTTTCTATCGTAGCGTCCGTGATGACTTTCTCAATCTCCGTCATCCGTTCGTACCGGGGCCAACGCCGCGCGGCCGTCAACCGCTGTCCACGAACTTTGGGATTCACGATTCGATCTGGCGCTCCATTCACGAACCTCTCAGCTCGGTATAGGAAATAATATAGGCGAATATTTAATCACCCATCATCAGGTTCGTCACTTTAGACCTTTCTGTCGGACTGGACAGAGAGCTACTTCACTTGCGACTTGCGACTACTGTGGAGACAGCTGAGACTATGACGAGCCGCTGAAGGTTCGAACCCAGGACCTCTTCAGCGCTGGGTCCATGACACAGTGGATCGTGCTTTGTTACTCAGTTACATTGCAAGCGCACTCGACTCAATAATTTTCTACCGACGCGACGTGCGTTGACTGCGACGCGAGGATGAGAAGAATGCGTCGCTCGCAGCGAACTCATTTCCCGAAAGAGAATCCACATATTGAAATTGTCTCTGAACTCTATTCATCGCAACGACACATTCAAAGTCGCACTCTGAACACCGTTACCGTTGGACTCTTCCTCCTGTTGCACTCGGGGATTCCAATTTGGTGACCCGAGAAATTCTGCACAGCGTCGCATCGCTCTCAAAGAGTAAACCCGTTTTTTCGCCCGCCACTCTTTCCCCACATACTCAGAGCCGACCATTTCGAATGAGTGCTTGGGAATTGAATGAGATCGGCGGAATGAATCCCTCCGTACAACCGAACAAACGAGTTTTCCATCGATCCCCGGAGGCTGGAAAAGCATTCTCCCATGGACGATAGGCACATGTTCTCTTTTTATACGAAAGTAAAATCTTAATGTGGCCCGCGGGCATCTGCAGCGCTCGAATGTGGCCTGCCAAAAACTTAAGACTGTCGCCCCTGCTCTAGGTGGTCAAGAAGAGTGAATTACCTACTAGGGGCTCTGAAACGTGGGGAAGTGCGGAGAATGTCGTTGTGGAATTTCGAGAATTGAACGAATTGATAACGGGAAGCCCCGGGAGAAAAGCGGACCAACAGACAGACATGAGGGAGCACACCTGAGTTGGGTGATCCCCAAGATCTGCGGACCTATACGGGGGAAACAATCGATAGCTGCTGGAGCAGGTCCAAGATTCCGGAAGATCTGATTCGTGAGAACCGCGTAGGCTAGGATAGTGTGTTTACGCGCGCTGAGGTTTGCGAGCACGGCCCAGGAGTAATTTTCGTTTCCACATTTATTGAATTCGGTTTCCATCTGGGAAAGATTCGTAGCATCTCCGACAAATCCATTCGCAACACCAGAAACTCTTCAAGTAGAAGCTTTTTAATGAATCGTCTTGGAACTCTTGCTGCACCCAAGGCGCTTTCTGGAAATTCTTCACCATCCGGAACTGCGAGACTGCTTCTTCCGTACCACTCGCGATCGAACGTGGCTGTCGGATTCGGCAGTCGGTGAAGCAGACAACCCGATGTGCGCGAAACGAGCTGTTCTAGGAAAATCAGGAATCAGTCGAACTACCAGGCCGTGCGATTTTTCTCTGATTTAGAGTTGTTTGACATCTTCTCTCTTCTGAAGATTTCGCGGGGGAGTCCTCATAGGCGAAGACAGAGAATTCGTTCCCATAGTGCCTTAATCAATCCCATTCTAATTAAGTATTTCCGACACTATCCCAAGCCAAGAACGTTGTTTGACGATGAGAGCTCGGTGAATTCAATGAATGAGTGAGTGATTCTTGACTCGTAATTGATACATTCACGAAATAGAAAGGATGCCGTCTAGGGTCAATGTCGAGCTGGAAAGATTTTATTCGAACCTCGCAGTCGCTGGTGCCAGTTCATTGTTTAATCACGATGATGTATTAATTACGCGGGGATCTCAATGATGTAAGACTTCTCAAAACTCGGCGGCCTGAGACCCCACCAGCACCGAAGTTCATTCACCGCGGAACGCCCGAACCCCAATCGCTCCTCATACGATCGGCTTCGGTCCGCCCGACAGCTTTGAGAGTTGCTCGGCCAGCTGATTATTATCGAAGACATTCTGGGTAGACACGTGGGCCCGCTCGTAAAAAGAAAACACTCACGTCATCCGTGTGATTCCAGAGGCGTCCATTCGATGACTCACGCGCTCGTACAGGGCCATATTTTCGTTTTAGCTCTTCCTCCCCCGGTACATCTTCTATCCAGTGAAGACTTCTCTCTGTGGACCCATACGCCTCACAGAGAGAAACCAAAAGTGTATACCATGATGGCATGATTTAGTGTCTCTGCCATTGACTCGAATTTCAGGAATATTCAGGAATTTATGCACTCCACGGTATCCATGTTGTACCCAGCACGCAACTTGCTATCGTCAATGCAAATGACCTTCCTATTTTGGTCCCACGGGATTTCATTAAACCGATGTGTCGCTCGATTCCAAAGCCAACGAATGGTTCAGCAGAGCTTCTGTATTGAAATTTCCTCTCCCCTATTTTCATTCTAGGGACTTCACAGGCGTCCGGATCCGTAGCCTTGCTCCCGGTCTCATGTCAGCGGTATCGATGCCTGCAGCTGCGGAGAAAGCTCTCGATCTGCGACATGAAAGCTCGAGACACCCTGCGCTCGAAGATTCTTTCTCTGACTGAACCCTCTAATCAGGTACTAATCGAGCGTCCGGACCCCAGCCAGAAAAAACAGTTTCAGTTCTGTATCGAGAATTCGTTGCGGTGTTACATCCGTCAGTCACACGGAGAGGTAGGAAAAGGAACAACGGATGCAGCGACGTTGCTGGGGAGCGGCGTGGCGTCTTCCAGCTATGAGTTGCTTCATTCGGCGCGAACTCGGTTCATTCCCCGAAGAAAGCCCTGAGCCTGCGAACTCCCCGCAAGCCTTGACTTCTCGGTCGGAAGTGCCATCGAACTATGTATTATCCAGAATGATAGAGTATATTGTATTTATTCGTATTTCATGTCTGAAACCTGAGGTAGAATACCAAAAATCTGAGGACCTGAAAGCTGGGTAGAGCTGACCCGGAGCAGAGGAGACTAAGAAGAGAGAGGAAGGGCTGGAAGTGTTGAGTCTCATGCCGGAAGCTAAAGGATATACAGCGCTCCTCAAGAGCAGAGAATGTAATGAAGCTTAAGCACTCTGAGGCGCGAATGAGTTTTCTGCAGCCGTGGCTGTGTCTTTTGTACGCCGTCCATCCGAAGACGATTTGACGTACGGCTTGGCTCAATCGGTACTCAGGACCTCCATTTTTTCTCCCTCGGTCACAGCTCGGGCGTTTGTTGGATAGGATTTGTTGGCACAGTCTGGAAGCTCAGGAGAGCGACTTGACGCCTTACCGGACTCGATAACCGGAGACCACGCTCATTCTCGCCGTGATGAAGTCATTGGGAACTCGTCGATGCGAGAATCGATGAATAGCCGCATACAAGTTCTGATAAAAGCGCATTGAATCCCGACTCTTACTACTATGTACTACGAGCACCTGAGATTCGAAACTCAATCTTAACGCCAAGATTTAGAATCTACCGATCGCGGATCTCCCGCACTATACGAGGTGATTTTCCGGCGTGAGTAAATGTTCTTGCGGATGTGCATGTCATACAGACTATTCGGAAATCCGTCAGTCGAAACATTTCTGATCTCCGATCTTCGACTACCCCAAGCTGTGCTGGACTCGCCAATTCATTTCTCCTTCGCCCGCTATTGTAGCCATGATCCCTCCGCGTCGAACGGAGTCTGACTCGGGAATGTCTCGATCCGGTCCCCTTGGATCTTCACGACGCCGACGATCGAGCCGCGAGACTCTGTCAGCGATTGGTGTCTGTTTTGCCCGGGGCTTGGATTCCGACGCGGCCTGCAGGGCTCTCGACCCTCACATACACATTTCAAGAAACAAAAGGCTCCGGATATCAAATGCAGTCATCTTCGATTAGTATTGGTCGGGCCCAGTTGCGGCTCCTGCGCTTTCCGGACCGGAATGGACAGCCTCTAACAGAAATCTTCAGACTCTTCGGCAAGCTGCTGTCGAGATAGGGTCTTCTAGGATATGAAGAAATAATGGAGATAGGGTATGATCCTATCTCTAAATCGGGACCTCTCGTCATCTATGGGCATGCACGAACTCCCTTAACTCAGCGGCACTCAGGAGAGCGAAAGTTGATGGTTTATTCACTCGCTCAGGAACACAGGTCCGATCTGACTTCCGCCCTCTCTCTCTCCATTTTATATATTACAACAAGCGCCCCTCGAGGGACCTCACCTCGTATACACTGGAATCCGGTGTATCTCGTGGAAGAATAAATAAGTATCTCCGCCATTAGACTTGAGCTTCACAAGAATTCCCTCGTGGTATCGATGTTGTACCAGCGACAGGAACAGCTACCGTCGGCGCAGACGTCTCGTCTGGGTTTCGGCCTCACGGAAAAATTCAGTTCCACGGAACATTCCGTGTTTTCTGTACCAATAAGTCGCTCGTTCGAGAAGTCGAGGGATCTTCTGTCACAAAAGAAGAACGACCAAACGAGAGGATTCCGAGAAGCTACTGTAGGTGAGACAGCTTCCGACGAATCTCGATGTATCCTTCCGAATCCTAAGTCTTCACAGGAAGCTGATTCCGTAGTTGTTCTTGTGGTTGTATGCCAACAATATCGGCGAGTGCAGCAACAAGGAAAGCTCGCGATCTGTGAAAAGAGTGATTCAGAGTTCGTCTACTCTGACTGGTTATGCATTTGAGAAAATGCTGGCATTCACCGGTCCGGGAACCAACCTTTCAGTTCCAGTGAAACTCGCAGCCATGTATCGAGATACTGCTCCGCTTCGACTCTCTTCAGACCGACGGGATTGAAACCGCGCATGAAGCAGCATTGTTGCAGGTCGTCGTCCTGTAGCTGTGCAATGCTTTCTTTGGCGAGTCCTCTGTCCATCTCCCAGAGGTAGCCTCCGAACCTCCAAGATTTTCCGTATGGCATGATACCTCCATAACGAATGCCGTGGGACAACGATAGAGCTCTCTGTGAACGACGGTCGTCATAAGAGTCTAGCGGTATCACGAATTTTCGTCTTTCTTTCCTACGGGCCGAAGGCGTGGAGGAAGAGGCTGGAAAAGTTTCCGAGAAATTCCCGACAATCGGTGCTGAGTCGAAGCCTAGGGCCCGCTTCCCGAACAGAAGATGCCCCCCAGGAGTTCCGCACCGGAGGCAGCGCAGAGCCCGTCAGCGAAGAGGGGGAGCGTTAGGAACATGGATGAATCTGGTCTTGAGCTCCGCTCAGAGAAGCATTCAGAAGAAGACAATTCGGAGGAGCAACAAGAGAACTGAATGCGACGAGTGAGTTGTTACACAAATCGACGAACCCAGCGGCGACCGTGGATTCGAGCGAAACCGTGATTGTAAGTAATGGGTAATGGTCACAAATCGTCCGGGTAATTGCGATACCGACGCCGCACACCGTGACCCCAGCGAACAGCGCAGGCGAGAAGACCACGAGCTAGTTTGATGCTGCGAGAATTCGTCGGTACTCATCGGAATGTATAATGTTTCTATTCTTTCTCCTTCCCGGCGACCCTTCCTCCGAGTGATCGCTCCAAGGACTCAGGCAAATAATCGAGGCGGTGAAGTGTACAGAAGCTGTCGACAGAAATAATGATCGAATGTACGATCCAGCCATCTCCATCGTGGCGTTATTTTTTCCTATACTGAAGCCGCCGCTGCCTCGGAAACAACAAGTTGGGAGCCAATGCGAATCGGGCAAGCAGCTATAAACGTCCCCAAGAACAGCGGAGTAGCGCATTACCGTCTCTCATCACCATACATTTAATAACAAGTTCGTCTATTCTGCAAGATGAAAAATGATTCCGGCCGTATCAAGCGGAGCCGATGAAACCGCGGTTGCTGCTGCTGCCGGATCACGAACTTGATCTTCGGTCGGCAGCATCGACGTCGGAAGTCGTTTTGTATTTTCTCTCAAGATTCTCGAAGTTCTCAATGAAATAACTCCCTCGAGGAAGGAGATCATAAACATCGAGAGATGGTAATGGATGTTTTCACTCGACTGATCAACTGATCAATCGAACAATCAATCCTGCTTGGATCTTCCGAACCCGATGCCGAAGATTTCACCTAATTACACAGCGTCAACGCAGAATTCAGGCTCATCAAATCTTGAGGATGGCAGAAAGTTCTGTCCTCCGCGGGGACATCTTGAACTCTCAAGAAAACGAATGAGAAATCTCCTCTATGCCGAGAACGGGAGCGGGATAGAGCCTGCTTATAAGCTGTTCCTGAAATTCGTCCGTCGCTGTTGAAGTGAGCTCTGGCGAAAGAGGATCGGAGCAACTCCTGAGAAATTGCCAGAAATTGGAGAATTAGGTCTCCAAAGCTCCGCGATGTCCCAGATTCCAGTCCAGCTTGTAGGAAAATTTTCGGCGTATGTCTTTTTCAAAAAATCACCCTCGGACCCAAGGGAGGCTCCACTTGTCATGGCTCAGGCAAAATTGGAGTGCGATCTCTGAGATCTGGGTCTCTGGGAATTCAGAGGACGTCTTGAATCCTGATCTAACAATCGATCTTCATCATGAGCATATTTCTGCTCCCGACATGAGACATTTCTAACCAATATATTCTCGATCCTATTTCCTCTATATGCGCCGGCGCACTGTCGGTATCCACTCTGTTGACGAGAAGACTTCAACCGTTGTCGTAGAAGAATTCGTCGCTCCACTCGACGAGAGACTGGCGGAGCGAATGAGCCAGGAGGAGGACTCGTCGACCGCACCGATTCACTGAGCGGAGAAAAAGTGATAATCACAAGGTTTCGGAAAGAAGTTAGAACTCACCAAGTGCCCGTAGCCGAGGTTGTGCAGCGCGAAACTTCCTCCATCTTGGAATAAAGGTTTGATTGCGAGAATTTCTTCGATACTGGGCTGCTTTCCAGAGCGAAGCTGTAAGCGGATCGAGGCGTACGACATTAATCTCACCGAACTGAAGAGGGTGAAAAATATATGAGTTCCGTGGTACGTCCATTTGATAGATGTTTTGAGATTCAGTGTGTCTTTCGTCGCTCTATACATGTTGATGAGAGCTGCCGATAGTATCGGTACAAGGAACTCTCGGACGAGCATTCCTCTGTGAGCTATACGTTCTTAAGATTTAACGTTTCGTATATTCCCCCTGAAGGGACAATCGAACTGATGGGTTGCTTCATTTGTCCAGCCGCGGAGGTGAGCGGGGAACAACACTTCCTACCGGAAACCCGATCCGGCATCCATCGGGAGCGGCGAATCGCCTCGAGGAGTTTCCATTCGCTATGTCGGGCTCCCATTGACGATTTCCCCAGTATACAGTAAAAGCTCGTTATAACGACCCCCATAACAACGAATTTCTCGGTACAACGAACATGGAATTTTTCCTCCTTTGGCCAGCTCGCCATAGGGATAGTGTTGAGCGGCATTCGTTACAGCGAAAATTCGGTACAACGAACCAGTTTCGTCGGTCCCTTCGTGCTCGTAGTAACGGGCTTTTACTGTATCATGATCCCGGACGGATCGAAGGGGAGCATGCTGAAGGTTTTGAATTCGAATAGGGTAGTGATTATTGACTCTGGTCGGAGCTCAATGTTTTCGTCTGATAGTGAGACTTCTTCGATTTTTTCGTCAGAGGCTCCGATCAAGGTATCGAGACCCAAACTGCCAAGATGCCGAGTTCCTCTGGGGAAAACAGCGCCAGATCTCCCGGAGAAACCTGGCTTGACAGCAGAAGCCAATCGAGGTGGAGAAGAAAGTTCTGGCTGACAGAACAACGCAGGGTCAGAGTCCAGGTCCGAGAGGTTCCGTGGGTTGTCGCCGACGCAGAAGTTTTTCCCCGTCGAGTGGCAGAGGCTCGACCAATCAATCAGTACCCCCACCGGAAACTTCATCAAAATCTCAGAATTGATCCCACACTGCAAAAAAGCCGATGCTGTCGTCCCAAGACGAATCGCCGAGATTTGCCGCAAATTATTGAGAAAGAGAGCTACATATCAAACTATCCGTTCGCAATCTATCAAATTGCGGACTGAGGGAGGATCCTTTTCCCAGGCAACCGTCTCTCCCTGTCAACCGCTCAGGTGGGATCTCGGCTTGTGGACACAAAGGCGGTGCTGGGGATTCGATACCTTGGTGCTGCACTGTGTGGATGATTCGCTAGCCATCCAACATCAGGCTTGGCGCCACCCCTCCGTCTCTTGGAGTCTGAAGAACTTCAAACAACATCCTATCAAGAATGCTGTGAACCACTTCGGGCGGGGTTCCAATCTCGATATCGGTATCTATCGGGTGAAGCGGAGCAGCTCGACCTCGCGGCACTTCTGCCGTAGCGACAGCTAGTTTATAGCCCAGAGGCAGCGTTCAGAACTCACCAAAGACACGATTTCAAGACTTCTAGCTTTGAGATCAGCATCGCTAATGTTTCCGCGCTCGAAATGCCAGAGCACGTTATCGTGATATTGAACCCTCTCCAGATGCCTTGCAACTTCGAAGTAACGGAGCTGTCGACTCGTCCAATATTGCGGAGATAGGAGTTTCTTCGGGAACAAGTACCTGAGTGGATATTGAACGGAATGTCTCCATTCATTGCGCCAATGATGAACGGGAGCGGCTCACTCTATCAATCTTCCGCGGCATATAGTCATCGTTCTATCGGAACCCACATCAGATTGGGAAGGAATGAGAATCGTCGTTCCTCAGAGAGGGGGGAGGCTCTGGGAGTGCAGATTCTGCAGAATTCAACTCACAAGAGCGGGAATATGATGTAGTTGGTAAACGGTAATGCGGCGATGACTAGAGCTGGTGCCACGTGCACGATGTCATTTGGCACCTGGAAAATCGGATTCTCTCATAGACAATTCCTAACCAGCAACGGCTCGGAGAGCGTCATGGATTGTCGCTACAGATATAAGTTCCGAGACGGAGACAAGGCAGGCGGAATTCGGGACTCACTCTGTAGTAGACCTCCAGCTCTTTGCGAGTCAGAGAGCTGGCAGGCTGGCCCGCGTTGAGTCTTTTCGAGACGTTCAAATAAACTTGAACCTCCTTATAGAGTAACTTGGTCCCTGGAAAAAATTCAGAACTCCATCCACGCGATCTGGAGGTGCTATGGGAATCCTGATATGCGGCTAATAAGCGTGCAGAGAACCCCACCCGTAGAGAGATTGCTGTAAACCTCGAATGCTTTCGGCGCATGTTTCTTCATAAGACCCTCGTAGCTCTCAACAAAGGCCAGGAACTTGCGAGCGAGATATATACGGGGCTTTGACCTTGGTTTGACGTAGTCGGTGCCGTATCTGCAAGGACAGCAATCGTGTTAGATGAAGAAGCTCCCAGTAGAGACAGAGAAGACAATCGTTTTCGAGTTGGGCGCTTCCGAGCGGGAACCGCGCACCGCGGCTCCGGATGACGCCAGCTCCCGAGAGCGTTCGAAAGAGGCATGTGGTACTCACTTTGTTTTCTCTCCCGACTCGCTCATCTGTCTACACAGCAAGAGCCCTGTCGGACGACCCGTGAAGAATCTCGCCACGGGCAGCGACATCTCCTATACACAACGAGTCTTCGAATTCCTGGAGATTACATGGTGAAATCGAACGATGGATTCAGTGAGTCCTCCAAGATCGCGCACGCAGTGGGCTGCCATATTTGAACACGTGTGATGATCTCCTCGATACGGCCCCGATACAGATACTGTGATGAGGATCAATAGCTTCATATATCTCCCGCTTCGAGTGATCCGCCCCAACTAACTTGTTCATGAGGATTTCATCGCCACCGGGAGAGATAGCATCGAAGGATACTTTTTCCGAGGATGACGACCATTCACTTTCGTATCACATCTAGTATCACACCCACGACAGCATCATGAAAGTACCACAGGCGGCTCCTCGATTCCTTGCTGGCACAGGCATCCGTAGACGGCACCGATTTCACCTTTAAAACGCAGACAAGGCCATCTAAGGAGCTTGCTGATAGATCTCAGGGAAATCGGACAAAGCTTCGTCAAACATGGGGAGCATCCAAAAAGCCTTCAGGTCAGTGACGGATCGATCGGAATCTTACAGACATCGGTTATCGATCGCCGGTCTCGTTGCATCTTGTGAATTTAACGCCGGACGAGCAGAATATAAGTCGCAAGACTCAACACACTGTTGGAACAATGCTCTTCTTGCCATCGTCTTTAAGGGATGGGCTCTCGTGTCCGGGTCTCAGTTTCCCTGACGGCGCTCACGCTTCTCGGAATTTTGCCCGTCGACAGTTCCAAGTGCAGTCTAAAGGACTTACTCCTACTGAAGTTTCATGAACCTTCCGTATTCCGGTGAATGCGAGAAAATAGTTTCCCAATAATCAGGAGTCGGGGGGTCGGCCTCTGCTGAACAATTATTGAATCGCGATGCGCGTAGTTTGATCCGGGACTCTCCGAAAATTCGGCGAGCTTTCGAGTGAAGGGAGATTCATCAGAACCTCGGGCGCTTTCTCAACGGGAAGGAAGTCCCGAGCCGCATGCGTGACTCCGATAAGTTCGCGCTCGAGTTTCGGATTCTCGGCCTTGTTCCGGGCTCCCTCTAGGAAGGCCAGCTGATCGACGCCTCCCAAGAATGTTTTTTCTTTACTTCCAGGGCACTGATAATGGGAGCTCCGGGCTCCGGGAAGGGAACAATTTCCGAATGGATTGTCAACGATTTCAATTTGAAGCATTTAGCAGCCGGGGACCTCCTGCGGAAGAACATCAAGGATCAGACGGCGATCGGTGAGTCGTCTCTCTCGCCAATCGCGTCTTTGCCCTCGAGTCCAAGACGACCGAGTTGGATCGTTCCTGATTCTTGTTTACGATATAGAGATAAGAGCGTCACGCTTGTCGTAGTCCCATCCTATGCAACGGGAGATGCCATGATCGAGCTAGCTCATCTCCTGACCCTCGGAGCTTCTCTAGTCTTTCAAATCCATCTCGCGCTGTCACCCCGGTGATGGTACATCGGAAGCCGGATTGCTCGAGCCGATTTTCGTGGAAAATGTCTCCGATTAGGCTTAAATGCGCCATCGAAGTTTGTCATCCTTTACAATAACCAGCGTTTCCCCTGAACTCCAACTGATGTTCTTCCAGGGAAGGAGGTATCCCAGTACATAGAGAAAGGTCTCCTCGTCCCGGATGATCTCGTGACGAAGATGATTCTCGAAGAGCTTTCCACGAGTCTCCGAAACCAATCTTACCTCCTCGACGGCTTCCCGCGCACTATTCCTCAAGCCGAATCTTTGCACAAGTTCGAGAAACTCGATGTGTGCATCAATCTCGACGTTCCGGAAAAGGAAATCATGGATCGTATTCAAGGTGATCTTCAGACAATTGAAGACTGGGGCGTTCTCGGGTTCCTGCTCACGATTTTGGGCGCTTGCTCGATTGTCTCGACGAATGGGGAATACCACCTCGTTCCCATGCTCATTTGCTCAATGCTCTTCTGCAGGACGCTGGTATCATCCTGGCAGCGGACGGACCTATCATTTGCAGTTCAGTCCTCCGAAAATCGAGGGCAAGGATGACGTGACTGGCGAACCACTCGAGCAGAGGCCCGACGATAAGCCCGAGACTGTCAGAGCTCGTTTGGACACTTACAGGTGAGGAGTGCCTTTTTCTCGAAAACTTCCTCCGATACTTCGAATGCGGACGTCGATCGAGAAATAGAGGCCAGTCAGGCGAGAATGAAAAAGTCCTTTCGACTTCCAGGAACCAAACCGCCCCGGTCTTGAGCTTCTACCGTGAGAAAAATCTGCTGCAGGAATTCTCGGGGACGAAGTCAAAGGAGATTTACCCGAAAGTCAAAGAATACTTGACAAAATTGAGACCAGTGACGAAACCGTCTTAAATGGACAATAATTGAGCCTCTCTGTTTTTCTTAAACAACTGATTCTATTTTTTACGAAAATAAATGAATATTCTTACTTACATGTGTCTCTTAGAAACGATGCAACGGCACAAGCCGCAGCCTTGGAGAAGCTCTATGTCTACCTGTATACCTGTATCTCTAGGCGAAGGCCTTCAGGGATTCCCGTCACCTCGGAGAGATCGTCGTGCTTCATTCGAAGGACAATCTCAGCTCCACAGCGAACGACTTTTCTCCTCTAGGTATAAATTGTACGGTACTTTGAAGAAATCCATATCTGGAGTTGAAAGTCGATCCACTCGAGTGAGTCATAGCAATGGATCCTTGTCAGTCTGCTGAACCGCTCGAGAACAAGATCAAGTCCCTCTTTTGACGCGAGCTTGACTAGTCCGGGATCGATGGCAATAGTCCGGGTGCTACAGGGGAAATCCAGGGCTTATTTTTTGTTCGTTTCATTCGGAGCGGGACGGCGGGCCAGCTTTGGCTCGCCGGGGACTGATCGAGAGCTCGCGATTTGGGAACGTGATCTCTCGCATCCGGTAGCACGGAGCTGGATGACACAGCTCAGCAGAATAATGAAGAGTTGGGCTGCTCCGGGGGTAATGATCCTCAACTTGCTGGAGTTAAGAATTCAGGGACATTGCTTCGAATCTGAGGAGTTCGCAGGGAATCACTCCGTGGCTCACTGGGGATCAAATGTCTCCAGTTAAAATTTCCGGGGTCGCCTGCTGGGGAAGCTCCCGAGAACAGATTCGCTGATAGAAACACTCTTTTAATTTCAGAGCTCTGCTCCTGGAATGCTCAGTTCCCCCTTCGGCACCGATCTGAGGGATCTTTCCGTGAGACAGGGTTTTTCCTTTATCCCGCAAACGTTTGTCCTCGGGCTCCGTGCCATCGGATTCGACGGATCTTTCTCGAAAGCGGCGAGTGCCGTTCGCTGTTGCCACTTCGGCAAGTTCAGAGTCCTCGCGAATGGCTCGACACAGTTGGATGTGGGACAACGCTGTCTTCATGGTGCAGAGGCCCATCGAACCCGAGCCAGAGATGTAGCTCGTCGACAGGAGACCTAGAGACGTCCCGCGAAAATCGCACAGCGACCTCATCAAGGACATCTTGAAAGGCCTCCGTACTACTGAGAAACTGGCTTTCACCTAGCATAACCAAAGAGAGAGCTTCGACGATTCCGTGTCAGATTCGTGCAATACCCGGCCCCGGCTCCAATACACAGGATATTGTCGGTCTTTCTAATGGATATAGTTTCTCGGTTTCTTCGCGTGACCGTGACATAGGGCATTCCCCCGAAAATGCCAGCATTTTCGACCCGGAACACGTTCTTGAGAAAGAATCTGAGAATATATCATCCTGACTTTATTCGTAGCCCGTTTTCTTACCTTATGAGAGCGACCTGTTTTCCACGAATCGGCGACGTGACGACACGACCATCGATAATAATCGATTTCTTTCCTACTTTTGTGGAAACTCGAAAGGCGTGGACACCGCCTCCGCCAGGTGGGTGTCGAGCAAAACTCCGAGCAAATCGCCAACGTGCAGACCAGAGATCGGTCAGCCACGACAAGCACGGAGAGCATCGGTCGACACAGATCACGATGAAAGTCCACAGAAGGAGCGATAGGTTCGCGTCGAGCTATCACCAGAGACTCGCTCTGAATTGAATTGAGCCTTCCGCCGATCGAATAACTTGATGGGGCGGGAACGTGAAGGAGCCGAATCCGGTAGCCTCGACATCGCTTGCGGGATTCCGATCTCCCGATGAGCTACAGGAAAACTATTCCAGGAATTTCTCGTCGAGAATGCAGTCAGCTGAAAAGCTCTTAGCGCGGATTTATTATGTACATACATCGGTCAATATTTCACAAGTTTATCATCTCCTGCTCGAACATTTTTAGCATCGGCCCGCTCTGAGGACGAGCCTTCTCGATTACTGTATCCATGCCGCGTTCTCAGGGTTACTCCTATCCCGACGACGAATCGTCATCACTCGAGGACGACGACGAAGAGGATGATGACGACGAAGAGGATGATGACGACGAAGAGGATGATGAGGAGGACGGGGACGGACGGACCGGTGCGACTGCTGGCTTCTTCGGCATGGTCTTGAGATGATTACGCAAGTCATCGCTGGAAAATAAGAACACGAACATTTTTGACGTCACCTGTGATTGCAGATTTGGACTCCTCCGAGAGGCTCCGCAGAGAAGAAGGAATCTACGGCCCGTCCCAATTGCGGGACCGATCCAAATGAAAATAAACTTACGTGAGACCTCCTAACCCTATGGAGGTGAAGAAATTGATGGCGAATCTCGTGTTCTCCGGCGAATCTCTGGGGAAGAGCCCGTCGAAGGCTTCCTGCAGGGTGGGGTCTCTCACTCGTTCGTTCAATTTCATCAGACCCATGAATTCCGCTAATTCTTGGAAGAGGATTTTGATGAAAATTCTCGAGGAAGAGTTGGTTGTCTCCTCCCCGAGTTTGATGATAGACAGGACCTGCCATGGGATGGCGTCAGAAAACAATAAACTCGCGAAGAATTTCGCACAGTTTCGTAACTTATTCGTGTCCAGACGATGGACCGTCTCGTAGGCGTTGACGAATATTTCACAGAAGGGCTCCAAATATTCTTTCCGGATGAGGCACAGACGTTGAGCGACCAATGCGAAAAACTGCTCGTAGGTTCTCTGCTGGGAGCAACAATCCAGAATCATGTGACACATTTCCGGGATCTGATTCGGTTGGATGCGCAATTTCATTAATTTATGCACACATTCGTCGAAGCTCAACGAACTCTGAATCGTGAGGAAAACCGTCCGTCGGAGAGCAACGAGATTCGTCTCGGTGTTATCGACGATTTGATCCGCTTTCGCTTCGGCGTTTTCCTCATCCGAATCGTCGTCCGAGGACGATCCCGAGGATCCGTCTTCGCTCTCCGAGCCGCTCTCGCCGATGATGACTTTATATATGCCCTGATACTTCTCCTCGTTCTCTTCGTATTGAGGATCGAATTTGAACGCGTTCAGACCGTCCTGGCCGTCATTGACTTCTTCGAGAGTGATAACGTGAGTGTATTGATCTTCATCCTGGACGAGATCAAGTTCCGGGACCACCGACGGGTGATCCTTGAAGCCATCCTTACGAACCGCAGCCAAGACCTCGATCATGTACTGACATCGTTTATCTACTTTGCCCTCGTGGAGAATATGGCGGAGACTTTCCATGATCCCGAGGAGGCCTCGCGGGGAAACTTCGGTGAGCTTCCGTCCCACCTCTTTCAGGAAAGCGATCGCGACCTCGACGGAGTCTTCGGTTGGTTTCTCCAGGAGCAACGTCAGGATTTCGAGAGCGGAAATCTCGTGGGCGACTTGCTGATTCACAAGATGAGCGAGGAATTTCACCGCCGCAACGCACATGGCCTTGTCGTTCCGGCGGAAGCCTCTCTTGAATTGGAGTATCACTCTTTTCAGGATCAACTCTCCGGTCTGGGGGAATTTGGAGTTGATGACAGCCGTCAAGGCCGCGTAAACGTGCGTGAATGTCGTCGAGAAAGCCTGAGCTTGCATTATGGATCGGGCCAGGACACCGCGTCCACGTACGAGGTTCTCGCGGAAAAGTTCGTGCACGATGTCTTTCAAGTTAGAGACGTTAACTTTGTTTACAAGACCGTTTATGCTCTTCTTGAGTGCTTCCCACGCGATACGTTGGTACTCAACGCTTCCCTTATTCGTGATCTGCCTCTGCATTTCCCGGAGCTTCGCCGGTGGTATGTAAGCACCACCGGTCCGCGTCAGCATGGGGTCCAGCGCTTTTCTTTTCGGTGGCTCAGTCTCCGGCGGAGCTTTTGGGGGGACCATAACCACGCGGGACTTCATGCGCTTATCGGAATCGCTCCGCTCGTCATCTGTCGCGCTGGCGGACTCTGAATCTTGTTGGCGGTTTCCCCTTGCGGGTTTCTTTTTCTTCCGGTTCCGATTCTCTTGATCCGAATCTTTGTTATCACTGTCACTCTCCTCCTTGGGTTCCGACCTCGTCGATCGGCGGCGCTTCCGGTGCGTTCTGTTTCCATGGGGAGCAGTGGTGTCTTGCGTTGGCGCGGTATCGTCACCGCTCTCGCTACCAGAGGAGGGGGAATCGGCAACGGTTCCTCGGACTTTCTTGGGTGCCTCGGTCTGTTCTGCTGATGGCTGTGGCTTGTCGTCGATTTCGCCCTCGCTTTCCGCCGCCTGGAGCTGGAGTACATCGGGATGCTCGCCGGATTCGGTAGCACTCCGGACCGCTGTCTGCGCGTCGTCCGCACTCGGCCTTCCTGTATAGAGGGAAGAGAATAATTGTCAACGGGTTCGGAAGCTACCACAGAGGCAAATGGAGGCTGAATAAATGTCAACATCATTGGCCATGGAACGTTTCCACATTTTCCCAGAAGGGTTGATATTTATCATACACCCGTATGTAATAGATGCCTAGTTCGTTTTTCTTACGTTTCGTCATTTCGAGGTACTTTTCGTTGATCGTTTTCAATTTCGCCAGAGCCTTCTGACTCTTGTCTTCGCTACTCTCACGTTCTTGTGAAGTACCACGTCTGCTCACGGATGTCTCTCTCGATGACGCTGCCGATTCTGTCCGAACACAAATTATTTCCTCACAGCGCCCGCGGTCTCGGTCGGCGTTTCGCTCCTCAGCGTAGCTGCAATATACGATTCCCATCGTTTAGCTCCTCCAATGCGGAACGACCAAGCACCGAATCGACTATGTTTCGACATAATTTGATTCCCGCTCCCTGTGTCAATTCCGATCCTCCCTACGAGAGTTTTGAATTAGACCTCTCAAAATCACCGAATGTGAAAGCATCTCATTCTTTCAGGAACTATTCCCATGCCAAGCACACTTTCAGGTTCCCCGCTTTTTCAGCCTTCTCTACTCTTCAAGAGGTCTGCATGCCTGGCGTACCGTCTGTCTCTTTCACGAGTGATTGTGTCTCGGGAGTCGTCTCTCCGGCTTGAGCCGCTATCTACTGTGCGTTCGCGTGCCGCCCGTTCAGGAGTTGCGCTCCTCGATGTATCTGAGCTTGATGCCCTCTTCGATGACTTCCGATCCGGTTCTCCATCAGAGGATGAAGAGGAATCGTCACGCCTACAAAGAACGGATCACCCGTGAAATCTCGATCTGACAAGGATGCTTTCGCATTCGGCAAGCCTCCCCGGTTGGAGCACTTGTGCGGGGGTCCGCGGATACCACTCTCGAAAGCCCTCACCCGTATGACAAGGGGAGGTTTCTAACTGTGGGGGCCTACCGTTTGGCTCCTTGACATCGATCGAGCCCGGCGGATCGCTCAGTGTAATTCATAGAGATTAAGTAATTGTCGGGATGCGCGTTCCCCTACCCCATCCGCTCGGAACAGTTTCTATGACTCCACGAGAATCGCATGAGATGATCGAGAGAGTTCTCGTGGCGATCATATTCCAGCATTCATGCACTCACTGGAGAGTAAACAAATTTCACGAGCAGAAGCCCTGATTGTCGAGAACACGCGTATGATAACTTCGATCGTTTCACAGCGGGAGTGACAGGGGCGGCATCTGATTCCAGTCGTTCGGAACCCCTGGTTGCGTTCTGCATCCTCGATGCCTTGATTTGTTGACTCACCTCTTCGGCATAACTCGATGGTCACAGCTCGCCGTACAATCCGCAATTATCCGCTATCAGTCAAAGCACCGCCAGAATTTCGCTCCAAAGCGTGAACAATACGTTTTTCACAGACCGCCCGATTTGTTGACAAACACGAGCGGGCCGCCAAAGCAGCGGGCAGGGGCCCAGCTTTCCGAGAAGTCCAATCCTACCGAAATTCTCTGATTTCTCTTCTGCCACGAACGAAATCGTCTCAAGTCCCCCTCTACGCGAACTTCCTGCAATCTAACATCCTAGCCCTCACACGTTCCGAATAATATTCCGATTCGGGATCCTGTCGAAATCGGAGAAAAGGAGCTACGTGCCGCTGATTTAGCGGACAGGTCGGCGGGTTCGCCGTTGCATCTAGCTGGAGTGCTCCCCAACAGCTTTTTATCCCGTCCAGCTGAGTTTGGAATGATTGTTTTATGTTGCAGTTATTCATAAATCTGCCCACGTGTGCTGATCACTCCGGGTGGTGATTGATTGTTGCTCATAGCGATGATTGATTGGATGCTGAGGTGAAGCGTGTGATCCGAGTGAGTACTTCTCATTCTCATGGGTCGCTTGGGACCCTGCACGACGAGCTGAGAGGCGAATGATGGGACGAGCCTATGAAATTGAAGGCCATAAACGCTTGGGGATTTCTTCTTCAGACGCGAGCTCCTTCCTGTGCCAGGGGGGGTTTCGTGGCTGGCTTCGGAGCTGAGTCCAGCCGAGAAAGAACTGGAGAGGAGCGGGATTCCGGGTCGAAGACTTGAGTCCCTCCGGAGCTCGTTTTCGCGGAACCGCTCGATTATACGTAATATTTGAGCGGTACAAAACGGTGCTGCTGAATCATCGTGGAAGTGAATGCTATATCGGATGCCGGGCCTCGAGCTTCGATTCCCGAAGCTGCGAAATCTCACTTGTTCTCGATTTTGCATCCATGCTCGTCTGCTGGCACAGAGATCATTGACGATCTGCCAGAATTCGAGAAGACTTCTGTGAGCGAGGGACGGTGGGATTCTCCATCCAATTCTGTTTTTCACGGGGAAGCATAGCAGCCGTTTCCGATGGGATGCAACGAAATATGCTTTCGACTTCATGGAAAAGTATGCACTTCGATGATCGGGGAACATTCGAATCCAGATCTGAGATTCAAGGCCTCTCCGTTTACCCAAGCCCTACAGGACTTGAACCGTCGGTATAATACTGTGGTACCTCGACTTACGATCTTAATCCGTTCCCGGAGACCGATCGCAAGTCGAAACAGAATTTCTCATGGGAGCCCATTGTGGGGCGATTGATCAGCTCAGAGCGGAGTAGAAGGACCGCGAAATGTGTATTTATCGACAACAAAACCTCAGTTCATTAGTTGTGTACATATTGATTCAGAGCGAGTCGAGCGACAACCGCGAATCATTCGTCCCGAAAAATTGGACGCAAGTCGAATTAATCGTTCGTAAGTCGAAACAAATTCTTCTACAAAAAAAGATCGTAAGTCGAATCGTTCGTAAGTCGAGACGATCGTAAGTCGAAATACCACTGTATTTCCCTAGTTGTTAGTCATCATCACAATCGAGCTCCCGATAAAAGGCTAGTATTGCGAAAAAGAATCTGACCGCGCGAGAATGCCGAAAAATCCGTAGGGAGACCCATGTGCATTATGCATGATGAACGTCGCGAGGTACCAATAACTCCTTGGGGGAATCTGTTTATAGAGGGGGAGCTCCAACGTGGCTCTTCTTAGGGGTGCGGCATTCTTCTCTAGCTCCCTTAAGGGAAGAGAAGTTCGTCGTGTCCTCGCATCGAGGCTCGTTCGTCGATATTTTCATTGTTCAATGGCTAGCTGCTGACCACGCAGCGGGGAGTACCGGGCACACGGGGAAGCATTGACGAAAGGGCTCCTGTTCCCGGCGAGGCTTCCAAATCTATGATATTCTTCTGGATCTCAAACGTTTGTTTCTCTCGACAGACCAGCTTGTTATGGAGGGCCGAAGCAGTAGGAGACTGTCGCAGTTGGCCGACAAGGAGACGAAGAATGGCGGTAGGCCCGAGCGACGGGAGAAAGCGGACATCTCGAAGTATGATATTCCGCTCAAAATCAAGAAACGGGTCGAACAGGAGTATAAGAAGATCCTGACAGCTCATAAAGAAATGAGGACTCAGCAAATCATTGTGAGGACTCCTCCCACGAAAATCGTGCCAATCGGGTTATGCTGCATTCCCGGCCTTCCCGTCTCGCTAATAACGGTCCCTCTCTATCCCAGGAAAAATACTCCGACAACTGCAGATATATTCAGAGTACACTAGACGCAACGAGGACTGTGAAGAAGTATACACGACGACCCATATCGTCGTTCCCCGAAATGCCATCTCAAGGCAAACTCGGCAAAACGGTTTCGATAGAAATTCAGAACGAACCCAAGAAAACGGTGCCTTGTAGGCTCATGAATGCGGTGCAGTCGATTCCTAACATGTACATCTGGGCACCGACCCAACAGAATTTCCTTGTTGAAGACGAAACCGTTCTGCACAATATTCCCTACATGGGCGATGATCAGGACGACACGTTCATAAAAGAACTGATAAGCAACTACGATGGCAGAATTCACGGCGACAATGACTGTAAAAACTCTGTGAACGATGAAAGGCTCATCGAGCTGGTCCACGCCCTGATGAACTATGAAGATGTGGGAACTATGTATACACCAAAAGGTACGGTTTTCGACCGTGAGCGCCTCCGAATGGGTTTCAGTATTCTTAATTCAGACAGTTCAATTCTACCCTAACGTTTCCGTCGCGGCTGTATCGAGTTCTAAAAGCCATTCTCCACAGAGCTAGAAGATAATTCGTCGGATCCACCCGAATACCTGTTTGCGTGCGTTCTGTCGATGTGTCCGTCTCTGGCTGCTTCGCCCCATGATCTCCTGGAGAAGTACCGCCAGCTGACCGGCAAGGGCCCGAAAGTACCGGTCGGACAGTGCACTCCGAGTATTGACGGTTGCGGCGCGCTCTCGGTACCACGAGACCAGAGCATGCACTCCTTCAAAGCTTTATTTTGCCGGAGGTGCTACAAATACGATTGTTTCTTGCACTGTGAGTTCCTTCGGTGCATAGCGGGTCATCGCCACTTCAGTAGCCGGCCTTCAAGCGCTCGGAGCGGAGGGGGTGCTCGGCATATTCCTGGGACGGACATTCCGTCAGGATTGATTTTTGAAAAACTTCAACCTCGTATTGCAGCGCTACCCTCGTATCCGCAACCCAAGAGAAGGTATTACGACATGAAAGTGGATGTTGAAGCTTGCGGCGACAAATGCTTCCTGCACCTGACCGGTGTACGAGAAGAGAGAGCGAGGGAAGAAATCGAAGGTGCTCAGAAGGGCATGGAGGAGAAGGGACATGATAGCGGTAATGAAGGAAGTGAAGACAGCAGTGATTGCGGCGTTCAACGTCAGAAAATCACTGTCAACTCGTTAGCAAGTAAGTCTTTAATGATTCCTGATGCTCTTAGCGGGGCAGCGGCGTCGAATAATTCACGCGGGACTTAAACTCCGAAGGCTAGCAGCGGAGCAATAGACGAAGGCCTTCATATGAGACACAAACTCGATTCCGGAAATATGAGGACAGGTTTTGATTTCTCCCCAACCTGGATGGCTCGATGCCCTGGATGGGCCCTTGATCGGTCGTAAAGTCGCGGGTCTTGACTCGGATCCCGAAGATTCAGCATTGCGCCCCAAAACTTAGACAAACATGATCGGGCACCCGTTTTCCCCCGAGCCCCTAGAAATCCATCATTTCGACAACCGCACCTTGCAACAGAAAGAGATAATAACCTCGGATATTGTTATCAATCCTAGAACGACAGTTTCGCTCTACGAATCGCAGAAAATCACATCGAGCACCATCGTGCAGTTACGATTCAGGTACACAGACGCGCGCACGATTGCAATGAAATTCGGTCGTAATCCTTCAGCACGCGCCTCTGCAAAACCCAATCCTCTAGGCTGAACTCCACACCTTAGGTCGAAGATACCGTCTCGGACCGATAGACGCCTTGATACGCCGAGAATTTCATTTCGATCCCTGTCAGCTTACCGCGCTTCTCTTTTTTTTCGTGGATCCTCCGTTCAGATCTCACGAAGCTCTGAGGACGGATGAATGACCGGGATTCTTCATTTTTTCAGCAGATTCGGAACGCACTAGTCTGTCGTATCCTCACAGTCAGCTCACTGCCAAGGAGCTAGAAGAAAGCTGGAGTCCTGCCGAAATGTCGATGTTTCGAGTTTTATCGAAACCGTTTTACAAGAATTATTGCGCCATGTCAGCAATACTTGTCTCAAAAACTTGCGCTCAGGTTTACACGTTCGCCCTGATAGAGCAGTCCGAAGAGCATGCGCCCCCAGAGGACGATGACAGCAGACGTCAGAAGAAAAAGAAGAAGCAGAAGTTGTGGTCGACGCATTCCCGAAAGTTCCAAGTGAAAAATGGAGGATCCAACCTCGCCTGCCAATACATTCCCTGCAAGCATCCAGGACAGCTCTGCGATCAGAACTGTCAGTGTGTTCAAGTGGGCAACTTCTGCGAGAAATTCTGTCATTGCGCTCCCGATTGCATTCATCGGTAGGGGATCGAATCGGAATATTCAATGGACTCCAGATATCGTACCGATAGATTCGTAGATTATCATCGACAAAGTGTTCCAAGGTTACGAGTAGGAATAGTCTAACCAATTTTTCTTGACCCATGGCAGGTTCCCGGGTTGTCGCTGCAAAGCACAGTGTAACACAAAGCAATGCCCTTGTTATCTCGCTGTTCGAGAGTGCGACCCGGATTTGTGCCAAGCCTGCGGCGCGGATCAGCTGGCTGTAGCCAATATAACCTGCAAGAACGTTTGCCTCCAGCGAGGGTTGCGAAAACATCTGCTGATGGCTCCGAGCGATATCGCTGGCTGGGGAATCTACCTGAAGGATGCCGCGGCTAAAAATGAATTCATATCCGAGTACTGCGGAGAGGTGAGCGCCGTGCTTCGATCTTCATTCCTCCATATCACTGATCGTGTGGACGGGGCCCCAATTTGAAAGAACGATGGTTGAACCGAGAAGTTTGGACTTGGAAACGTTGCGCTTCGTTCCAGATTATCTCCCAGGACGAAGCCGATAGGCGAGGGAAAGTATACGACAAGTACATGTGCTCTTTTCTGTTCAACTTGAACAGCGAGTACGTAGTTGACGCGACGCGCAAAGGCAACAAAATCCGGTTTGCCAATCACTCGATCCAGCCCAACTGCTACGCGAAAGTTCTCATGGTTAACGGAGATCACCGCATAGGCATTTTCGCGAATCGGAACATACTTCCTGGAGAGGAGTTGTTTTTCGACTATAGGTGAGCATCTCGATCCAGGTGACGATATCGTAATCATCTGATGGGAGTGAAAACTCAGACAGAGGTCCATTGATGAGATCGTCCCCTGTTTACAGATACGGACCAACCGAACAACTGAAGTTCGTTAACATCGAGAGGGACATAGAATTTAGGATGTGACCGATGCGGAACCCAGGGTCCCATACGACGATCTGAAGTGACTCACCTGATTCGGTCACGCATCACTGCCATTTTGACTGAACGAATCTGTTCTCTTTCATCTGCACGCAAGAAGCCCCAGCGGAAGGAGAGAATTATCTCAATTGCGGTGTACATACGAAAAGACGGATGATATCCCAATAGCGCGAATTTAATAATTTTTGCGCTCCATATCCTCGAATGAGCATTTCTGAGACTTTGAAGTTCGCTCACTAGAGCTGTGAAAGTTGAAATGAAAGTTACGCAAGGCGAAATCAGGCATCGCGATGGGTGAAGTAGAAGTTCGTAAAGACTCCTTCCCCAAGCGGTACGATGATACGTATGCGCAGACTGCATGAAGAAATTGTTCACGAAAATAAATGTCTGGTTCTGAAAGTGCGAAATAATCTTCATTTTCGAGCTCAGTCAATCAGAGATTTCACCCGAATCCAAGAAAACGAGCAGCGGCTGAACTTGATCTCTATGAGGTCATGATGACAACGTATGATGCTCCGGGAACGGAGCTCTTATCGACTGGAAGATTACGTCATTTTTAGCGATCTGTGATCCCCCTCCGCTGTTATCATCAATAAATAAATATGACGTCACACTCGGTAGCCAAGGCGAGCTTTCTGAAGAGTAAGATAGCGGAGAAGGAGAGAAATGCTCCGAGAGGGGTTTCGATACGTTTGATTAGGTGAGCGTCAGACAAGAGCTTCGATGCCTGATATAAAGGCGACGAGCTCGGAGAAGAGTATCACTTCTGCATAGAGTCGAACAACAACCCGGGAAGATCTCCACCATGCGCATCCTCATTTGCTCTGCGACTCTCCTCTCCGCTGTCTTCGCTGCGCCCGCCACAACCGGAGGCAGATCTCTGGGAGCGGCGATTGTTCCCGTAGGATCGGCATCCCAGCACGCATCTGCCTTCGACAAGGGCGCCCAGCAGGCTGCTGCTACCCACGCTCAAGGCAGCTCAAGCTACGATCATGGAACTCAGGCAGCGAAGACCTTCGGGAACAAGGAATCCTCCGGTAGCAGAGAGAGCTTCTCGCACTCGGCTGACAGCTCTCTCAATCAAGGCTCTGGAGGTTTCTCGAATGTCGGAGCCTTCGACAAAGGCTCAAATCTGGCGAGCTCAGGACAGCATCTCAGCTCCTTTGGAGGAGGACTCGGAGCCATCGGGAGCTCCTCCTCGGTCGGGTCTCATCAGCAAGGTCTCCACTCGAACGGGCACTCGGTTGGTCAAGGAGCATCAAACTTCAATCAGGGTCACAGTTCCGTGAAATCGTCGGGCAGCAAAGAAAGCTTCCACAACAAAGAATCTTTCGGTCAGGAGGGATCAGCTTCCCATGCGAAAGGGAGCGGACAACAGTCCCACGCGCAAGGCGCGCAAGGAGGACATCACGACCGAGGACAACATCAATATTCTGCCAGCCAAGGCGTGATCGGTTGAGAAGGCTCGATTCTGTGATATTTAACATAATACTCATGTATATTTACTTGAACGTTTCGCGGCACAATTGTAATAAAGTTCACCTGCTCGTGTGGACCTGACGACCGTCTCCGAAAGCAGGAGCAGGACAACATTGAATAGAGGGAACTTCCTTACTAAGATTTTTCCAAGAATGTCCGAAGGGGGTTTCGTCCACGGGAATGATTTTCCCGCTAACGACCGAAGGCATGAGAAAAATCCTCAACGAATAATTGGAACAATCTACTTCCTGTTTTATTTACAAAAGTCTCACGAGTCCCCAGTCGGTCAGGTGCGCCGTGAGTGTTTCTAGCTCCTATCGCCCGGCCCCTAAAACGCTCCGCCACTCTGAAAAGTCACAACGGTTAGATTAATAGGTTCCTCTGACGAACGGCATACGCTGCGCACGAGCTCACGATGGGACCCTCACCATCACGAGTTCTGCTTCCTGTTCTTCTAGCGGCAGTCGAGCGTATCTCCGAGGTAGAAGATTCTCTTCTATTCCCGAGCCCCGGGCTGAGGAGCCGACAGAGGCGGAAACTTTCTGATCCGACTGAGCCACTGAAAATGAAGCTGTGGCACACGGTCGTCGTCATTGAGAATGAAAAGAAAAAGGAACGGAATGCTGAACACAAGGAACGGCATTGAGTGAGTCGCTGATGGTCCAAAGGATCTCTAAAGGCTCTCTAAACTTACCGGCTCGGCCTCCCTTGCGGAATTTAATCATCGGGATATGCGGCCGCAACGCCTGCGGGGGAAAATCAGGAACTTACGTTGAGATAGACAATTCTCTATCGAGAGCACGATTGCGGACTAATCAGTTGTCAGGCTTCATATTATGAGCTGAATATTCCCTCGAGTCCGGCAGACGGCAGAGATGAATAGTCGGGCAGGAATGTGGACTTGAGCCCATGAGTGCTCGGTACCCGGGACCCTTCCTCCGAGGGGTCCCGAAATCACCAGAATCGATATCACGGACTCTTCATCCGGAACAGGTGTTCTACCTTCCTCAATTATTGACCTTCATTTGTGCCAAATTGTCGCCGCTCTGTCGGAAATTCCGTTTCCTCCCGAGCATCCCCCAGAGGCCCAAGACCTAGATCCTCCGTCTCCATCGACTCACCTTGAGAACACTGCTGGCACCAGACATCGGAAATTTCGAGAATCAATTTATCGAATAAGGATGGGAGAACAGAACCCTTCCCAGCAGCTCTTCTTCACCGTGTGCCGTGAATCTCTCCAACTTGTCCCAGACAGACGCCAGTTTTTGTTTACAAAACACTAGTGGCGGCTTTCCGCGACGACCGATACACTACCGCCACACCAGGAGAGTATCCGAAACATGGAGTAGCGATTCGCCGGGTTTTTCGGAACACAGTGATCACCCAGCAATCAATCCCCACTTTACACTTGTGTGGAGCCGACGAGAAGGCTCGAATTCCTCCTAAATTCCACCTGTCTGCGAAAGGGCAAAGGTATGTAGATACGAGGCAGAACGTCGTCCTCTGTCCAATTCTATAGGTTCTCCAGCTTCATGTTGGACGGAAGAACGTGCGCGGTCTTCCTCTGAGACGCCGCTCGCAGAAATGGAGTCAACGGGATCTTTGGAAATCTCACGCCGGCATCAGAGCCCGGATGAAGCGGCGGAGCGAATACTCTGAGGAATCTGTATCCCAAGGAACGAATCCGGCACCCGAATAATATTTCCGGACCGAATTTCTGTACCCCATTCCTTTTCCGTGCAAGTGGGAATCACCCCGAAAAAGTTTCATCAGCCATAAGACTACCGTGGCCGTCATAAGCATAGCTAAGAGTTTCTTGTGGCAGTCTGTGTCCCAGCTTCCGATTTCAACTTGAATTCTGTCGCTTCGATTCGACTCGAGATTCGAATGGCTAGCTGTAGATTATGCCGCGTGAATTTCAGAGAGGACGGACCATAGGGTACCTCAACCGCGAGCTTCACAGAGATCCGTTTCTCGTAGGTGCATTTCCCTGGATGATGTCTGGCAGAGGCCGGAGATACGATGATGAAGGGAATTACTCGTCGTACGGTAGATCCTCTGGGAGTTCCGGCAGCTCGCGAGACTTTAGAGCGGTCGCGCCTCCGGTGCAAGTGTCCAGAGCGGCTCCAACGACTAAAGGTTACACAAAGCAGACTCAAATCCAACAGACAATGGATCAAATGCCGAGTTACGATCAACTCATCAATAAGCCTCGAACCGAAGAAGAGTAAGAGTTTCAGAGAAGCGCTAGCATCTGGCTGATATTTTTTCTATCCTCAGACATATTTAGACGAATTCGTTTTCCTCTTCCATAGCTACTGGAATGAGGACGAGGATGAAACACCTCAAAAGCAGGCGAGGGACGACGACTCTGATGACGAAGAAGATCCGTTAGACGCCTTCATGGCTGATCTTAGCAAAGACATGAAAAAGCAGGATAAACCGAAGGACACCACAAAAACGTCTAAGAGGGGAATCCGGGACGATATAGAAGCCGAGGACGATGAGGTACGTCTTTCTCCATTGATGGAGCGATTCACCAATCCCGGACGAGTTGGAGGGCAGCGGAACTCATCAGTCCCCCATTGCAGGAGAGTTATTACAAATTCATGAAGGAGAATCCCTTAGCTGGTACCGCTGCTGATGAGGATGATCTGGACCTAGAATACGACGAGGACGGAAATCCGATCGCGCCGCTCAAGAGCAAATGGATCGATCCGTTGCCTGCCATAGATCACTCATTAATTCAATATCAGCCGTTCGAGAAGAACTTTTATGACGGTACGTGGTCGAAACCAGGCCTTAGAACGCAGAGGGTCTATATCTGAGAAATTCAACCGCGAGCAGCGGGCAAGCGTGGCCGAAAGATATTTCCCTCCGGAATACCAATGATATCCATTGATGGATTATTATTTTCCCGTGGGACAGAACACCCAGAAATTTCGAACCTAACGGCGGATGAGGTCCAAAAGCTCCGAACGACGCTCGGGATCAAAGTCATCGGAGCCATGGCCTCAAAACCCGTAGTTTCGTTCGCTCACATGAACCTGGACGCGAACCTCATGAAAGCTGTCCGCAAAGCCCTCTATGAAACGCCTACTCCGATCCAAGCACAAGCGATTCCCCTAGCGCTCAATGGAAGAGATCTCATCGGTGAGTCAAACCATTTAAGCTCAACAGATACCGGAGTTAGGTTCCTTGCGAAGAAAATGGAAAATGACTCGGGACGCTCACTGACTAATCTTCCAGGAATCGCCAAGACCGGATCCGGAAAAACTCTTGCATTCCTGATCCCCATACTTGTACACATCATGGATCAGGCAGAGCTGAAAGTCGGTGAAGGTCCGATCGGGTTGATCCTAGCTCCGACCCGAGAACTCGCGATGCAAATCTACACTGAAGCGAAGAAATTCGCCAAGGTACGCTCCCTATAAGGAGAAAGAAAAATTTCGCATCGGAATCCGCGTGAGGAATTCCGGCATTTTCCGAAAAGCTCGACCTTAATCATAGGGGAGTAAATCTTGAGCTTTCCCAAAGATTACCCCTGACGAAGCTCATGATTGAACCGTAGGTCTATAATGTAAATGTTGCGTGCTGTTTCGGTGGAGGATCGAAATGGGAACAGTCAAAAGCGTTGGCTGAGGGAGCCGAAATCGTCGTAGCCACTCCTGGCCGTATGATCGATATGATCAAAATGAAAGCCACAAATCTCGAGAGAGTGACGTTCCTCGTCTTGGACGAAGCGGACAGGATGTTCGATATGGGATTCGAACCTCAGGTGAGATATTGTTCACTGAGCGCTCTCCGGCGCGATGGGTACTCCGGGGACCCTTGGGATGGCGAACGATGCCGAAAGACCCTGACGAAGTTTATTTTCTCTAGGTGAGGTCGATCTGCAATCACGTGAGACCGGACAGACAATGTCTCATGTTCAGTGCCACATTCAAGAAAAGAATCGAGAAGCTGGCGCGAGACGTGCTCTCGGACCCAGTCAAGATCATCCAGGGCGACGTGGGTGAAGCCACCGAGGACGTCACGCAAATGATGATTTTCATCAAAGACAAAGAGTTGAAGGACATTGAGAACAAGAAATTCCTCTGGCTGGCCGAGAATCTCGTCGGTTTCTGCAGTCAAGGAAGCGTACTGATCTTCGTCACCAAGAAAGCGAGCTGCGAAATCGTTGCCGAGAAACTGAAACAAAGGGATCATAAACGTGAGCATTCATCGGCGGGTCACCGTCCGGATCCCCCAATGATGTCACGGAGTATTATTTCCTTCATCATGTATTTTTCTGCGAGCATCACGAACGGCTCATGTAACTAATTTGTGAAATTTCTCTCTGTCATCCAGTGGGTATGCTGCACGGCGACATCGATCAGAGCGAGCGAACGAAGCTGATCGCTGCGTTCAAACGTCAAGATTTCCCGATTCTCGTCGCAACTGATGTCTGTGCGAGAGGTTTAGACATAAGTCACATAAGGACGGTGATAAACTTCGATACGGCTCGGGACATAGATACTCATACTCATCGGTAAGAGAGGAAGGCGCATCCGGAGAATCGTGAACGCGGATATTGAGATAATCGATCAATTCGTGACAGTGGCGCTTCCCCTGAAACAGTTCCTTCTTTCTCCTTCAGCGTCGGAAGGACGGGCCGTGCTGGACAGAAGGGTTTGGCGTATACGCTATTCTCTGAAAAGGATAAGGAGTTCGCAGGGCACCTCGTGAGGAATCTCGAGGGCGCCAACCAGAAGGTTCCCAAAGATCTCATGGATCTCGCTATGCAGAGCCAGTGGTTCAGAAAGTCGCGCTTCAAGCAGGGCAAAGGCAAACACCTCGAAATGAAATCAAAGGAGAGACCGGGATTAGGATGCTCATCCCAAGGAAGCTCCTCCAACCAGCCCCAGCAACCATCGCTGAGCGAAAGTTTCGCGGCTCAGCAAACCTCCGGTGACATGAAGCCGGTGAACAGATTGGCTGTCATGAAAGCGGCTTACGGAGTGAGTTCCCGGGTCTGCTGGACTCGATTTCGGACACTACTAAACCTCGCGGAACCACGGAGTTCCCGTAGGACACGAACCAATAATCATGTTTCCGATTGCGCTCGATTTTCACTCGGTGTCGTTCTGCTCTTAGATTGGGTGCATTTGAATGGAGTGCCCGCATTCAAGCTAGTCGTTGATCGTTCCAGGCACAATTCCGAACGCAGTTCCGAGCAGCTTCGGACTCGACGAACAGCTCAGCAGGATCGCATTTCCAGCAGCCGACGCCTCCTCCACCACCACCTGCTTCCAGCGAAATGCCAGGGACAGACGAAAACAAAAAGAAGAAGTCGAGATGGGCTTGAACGATCATATCGAGCAAGATTGGATGAAGATTACTGTATATATTGCAAATACAAAACATACAATCACCGAGAAACGCGCGTCATCTCTCCTGCAGCGAGGGAAGGTGCGGGCTCTGAGCTTTCTCTCCAGGTCTGGGAAGGGGGTGGGACACGAGAGAGAATGGTGCGCGAGAATGATTTCGTCTCTTCTCTCCGATGAACTTTCTCGCTGCGAGGTCTCGATTCGTCACAAGCAGTCGATGTGACGAGAATGCCTTAGGTTTGTCGGAAGCTTGCTCGTCATTGGAATGCTGCTACTTTCACCATTACGAGTCTTACGCGCCCCTTCCCCTACGCCCCGCATACCAACTCACAAATCGCTCGGAGCTGAGCGCGGTATCCCTACCCAAGCGCCCCGCTCCGAAAAAAGGAGTACGGTGCACATTCTCCCTCATGCAAAACATGAAGACGACTCGCTTCAACCTCCGGGCTCGCAGCGTTCTCTTCAGTGTATGCATACCTCGGAAACGTTCTCCGTGTTTCCCCTACTTTCAATATCTCTCCTGGCTGGCATTGCCGCTTTATCAATCGGCATCCCCCTTTTCATTCCTCCTTCTCCTGTCGCGACCAGGAACCGGACCGTGAGGGAAGAATACAAGGTCGTTGAGACTGTGGAACGAGTTCAATCGATGACGTGGGGAGGGTCGAGTCCTCCCAAGGGCTTCTCAAAGCTTGACGAGAGTCCGTGGGACTTCGCTAAATTCGATGATACTCCCCGCGAATCGGCCCTCACGAATCAGGGGTCCGACGCTACTACTCTCAAGAACTTTCTGTAGGAGCTCGACCACTCAGAAACTCATGCTCTTGAGTCCCTTCGGTCTCCAGAGCGTTTTGAATCCCTCCGCCTTATGTGGCTATCAATGCAATCATGGATGGTATTCTCAGATAGGCCCGATAGGCTAGCAGGGAGAGCACGGCGTGGCCGAGTGACGGAGGTGTGTTTCATGACGAAGTTGAATCTTCTGCCGAGAAGAAGCGGATATCGGAAGTTTCGCGTATCGCTGAGAACCCTCACCGCCTGTTCGGGGATCTCTCGATCGGGATAACTTCCATGGAGTCGGTCTGGGCTGCGGAAAATGTTCGCAGCCGGTCGGAAAAAGATTGTAGCTGAGTTCACGTGCCCCCACGTGCAGGAATTGCCCGTAGATACGCATTTCCAGAGAGTCTACTAGTCCAAAGCCCCCTAAATCCCTCGCGTCGATCCTCTCGCTGGGAACCCGCGTATGGCTGACGAAGGCTCGCGTCCATTCCGACCTCGCTCATCGAACTCTTTTCATAAGCTGTGTCTTTCCGCTCTCGTTTACGATATGGATCCCGAGTTTCCATCGACAATGGAGGCGACCAACTCTTCCCCGTTGCTTTCCGATGATGACCACTCGAAGGATCGCGCGCTTCGGAATCTACTGATCGACTCCATAGCAGTTACAGTCGCGCATCGAGATTGCGTTCGATTAGAGAAATGGAGCGAGGGTCCGCAGGCAGCGGACTCAGCGCGGGATCACACTTTCAAATCGCAAAATCATGATGACGATCGATGTTCGCTAAAGCGATCCGCGACGGTGACACGTTTCGTATCCCCAGCGGAAACCTCGTCATTCGAGGATGGGTGAGAATTGCTTCGGAGAGCAGGCAGGGAGTCGGACCCCGGAAACCGCTTTGTCGGACACGGTTTGACCCGAATAGAACTTGGGAGAGACAAGCATATTTTCGCTGACACTTGAATCGGGAATTCGTTAGTCTGTCTCCCGGGGAAGCGCTCGACGACGGGCTCCGTGTACGATCGTAGGCGAGGGATTGCTCGATCATCACAGACGAGCGCTCAGCTGATATTCGTTCTCGAGATCCGGAGTTATCCGGTCTCTGGAGACATCCGAGAACTTCGCTATCAGAAGCTCTAGAAGAGCTCTATTCGGGACGACATATCCGTCGGCAGCCGCTCTGGTTGAGGATTCCGAAGCAGCGCTGTATTCCCAAACTTTGTCTTCCACCCTCGGCGATCCTTTATGATCCTCCTGTCGTCCATCTTCATGCGTTCCTCAGCCTCGATCATTGTTCCTATGCAATCTGAAACTACCTACTTACTGGACCGAGGGATGAGGAGTGGCCCTGATCACTCGAGCCTTGAATGTAGGGAGCTTGTTTACAGGCTCTCTAAAGCGGGAAAAGATTTTCAATCGGGAGCAGCTGTGAGCATTGCTACAGAATGATTCGCGTTCTTCCAGCATGGTAGAGACTTAGGATTCGAGGGAAAGTGGAAAAACTGCGAGGGAATCCTGAGGTTATGACCTATGTATGTAGAATCACTTTCGCCTGGGCATGAGATACTGCTCTTCACAGTCTCCGAAATTCCGTCGTCAAACAGGCCCTTCGCAAGCAATCGTGCACGAGGAGGACGGACTAATATTCTAGAAACTCCGTCCCATGAGATCTATCGAGGGAATGTTCTGAACCTTCATCCACGGGATAGAGTGCCATGGCCGAGCTTCAAGCTTTCCGAATTCCGCGTCCTCTCATATGAGCTATGGATCAGGATCGAAACCTTGCCTGATTCAATCATCGTTCGATAAGGACCCGACAGTCCGCGGCAGTCCCCTCAGATAGGAGAATTGTGTGGGAGAATTCACTGCCCCGGTCAAACGCAGCCGGAGTCTGATCCTTAGAAGATACCTCATCGATGCTCATCTCCGGACCTTGGAGAACACTCCACAGCTGGAACCGATAGCCGTTGACTAGCCTGGATCTGTGAATGGACAGATCCGCGCTCAAATTAGCGAAATATCTCTCCGAGCTTGGTCCACCATACGAATGTATGCAAGGAGTGCGCTCCTTGTGGCACCGGCGCTCAAACCACCAACCGACGAAAAGAGGAACGGTCCGTTTGGCGGGACCTAGCCTGATATCTCCTCATTCGACGGGCAGAAAAAGCCTCAAAGAGACTACCAAGCGGGCGAAAAGTTCTTTTCCGTCATAACAAGCTTACCCCATAGAGCCCGAGCTCCCGCCCGTGAATGAGATCTCAAAACTTTGGGACGGAGGAGGCAGACAAACTCGGAGAGTGAACGTTCAACGTCGTCTGGAACTCGGTCTCAAAGGCTACTAGATTGAAATTCTTTGACGGGAAGCTGGATCGCCGACTGCAAAGACTTTTCCGTCGGCTTCCAATTTCTTCCTACGACAGCCGCAGCTCGATGGTACCAGGAGTCACAACACTGACAATCATCTAGTTCTGCGTCCGAAATTGCGTCGCTTTTTCTCCGCTTCATTATTATTCATCCGCCTTACATACATGAATCGGGTAGAGAGGAGCGCCGGGCTCCATGCTCCTTTGCTGGACCGGATTGTACCGGATCTCCACCTGAATCGAGGCAGCGAGTTCTTCAATGTTGATTTTTTCCGATATCTGCATTCGGATCGACAGACCATCAATGGCTCTGCGTAATGTTTCGGTGTTCTCCCTCCGGAACATGCAGCCCCAATGCGCGCAGGAATCGCGCGAGAACTCTGCTCGAACCTTCTCCGTTTGAGAGCAACTGGTCGATGTGACCGACGATCAGTATTCTGACCCTCCGAAGGAACTCTCGTCGTGTTTTTTTTGTGATGGCTGTCATGCTATCAAGTAGCGAACTCCCTTGCCGATCCTCCTCGCCGACGGTTAGAGCCCTCTCTTCATCGGCGCCGGTCGCCAAGTCGGTTTCGAAGCGAGCAAAATTCGCTAGAATAGAAATCGGTGGCTGAGGAAGCCTGTGTTGAAGGGGCTCGAGCAATTCGAGCTGGATATTGGTTTTGGTGCAGTTTCTCCGAGTGCTGTGGAGTGTTTTTGAATTCTAGCCGTGGATATCGAAAAGTTTCTCGCGACGACGTCCCAAAGGATAGCCAACAGCTCAATCTTTTCGGATAAAGTGTTCACTTACTCCGGGTCCACTCAAGGTTCGTAGTCTCGCGACGCTCCAGCCGTCATGTTTTCAGATCTTTCCGCTCACTTGGATACGAAGAAATCAAGATTATTGCGGATGGAGCCCGTACGGGAGACGAGATCCCGTTTCCCGGCGGCGGCTCGGTCCGTAGAGGGTCCCATTCGCGATCATGTCGCTGCGAGCAGGAGATCAGCGGGCTCACGGCTGACTTGCAGCTCAAGCGGGAACTTCCTGCAAAGTTGGAATCAGCAGCGATCCTTGAGCTCCGAGACTCCGTTTTTGCCTTTGTTCTGACTCAAAATCGAGCCCGGGAGAAATTCTGAGAATATTTTTGTCAGAGCACAGCCCAAGGGTATTTTGGAGCAGCGATGGTGCGTGTGAAGCAACGCTGTATTCATTTTTTCCTCAAGCAAAAACAAAATCATCATCCGTGTTCTTGGTCGTCACAGGCCATCGACGCGAGAGCGACCAACCAACCGTCCTACCGTCAGTCCGAGCTTGCTGTCGATTCGTGAAGGGGTGCTCTGCTATCTTCCTGGTGACCACCACCAGAAAAGCATTGAGGTGATCGCAGGCCTGCTCTGACCAACCGCTCGTTATCTCAGTCAGTCTGGGCAATCATGAGGGTTATTGTTTGTACATCCAGACCGGCATCTGGATGGTGGCTGGGAAGCCGATTCGTACATCGACTGAATGACTTCGCTACATGAGAAGATGCTCAGCCTCTCGAACGGATAAAATTGTGGAGCAAGACCTCCCAAGACGCTGAGAGATGGCCTGCTCGCTACTTCTGAATTTCCGACTTCCTAACCAGACGCCGTACCCAGAAACCCCGGGCTTGCTTGTCTAAACCCATCTGCGGTGCTGAAATCCCGAGATTAGAGCCGATCGATGGGACAATCTGTTCCATAATCGCTCGGCTTTGGACAAGCCCACTATTGATGGTGAATTTAAGATTCTCGAATCATTGCGCCATTTGAAGAGGAGCGCAGTCTTGGACGCATCCAGTTTCGTGTCTCGCATTCCGCGCAGTTTTCGGAGCGTTCCGGGAAAGACGCGGGGATGAGAGTTCTTCTCTCTCTCGGTGCGTTCCTCGAGACAATACTGATTGCCC